AAAAAAAAAATACACTGTCGCTCAAACACAAGCTATGGGCAGGAGGCACTGGGGGAACTTCTCTGGCCTGTGCTGTGCAACAGGTCACACTAGATGATCACAGTGGTCCCTTCTGGCCTTAACACCCACGAACCTATGAGCAGTGTGGACATGAGGACCCAAAGCTGTACCCAACCATCCCTGTTCAATGCACTGTCCTCAGTCCACCGCTAGGGTGACAAAGAGTATGGGAGAACAACACAGTCAATTCCTTAGGAGTAGAAAGGATGGGCTCCTTTTTCAGGGACCTGCAAAGACAGGAATTGGGGTTAGGGGAACTACCTAATGCTGTTCTCTGCATCCAGGGCTTCCCATCTTTATCGTGGGTGTGATCTTCCTGGCGGATCCGAGAAATTATGGACCATTCCCCATTGCAGTAGTTGAATCCCTTGAGATATCCACCAATGCAACCATGTGAGTAATTGGAATGGCATCACCATGTTCCTGGCTATACCATCGCTAGCAGTGCCCCCTCCCGTGAGTCAGTTACACACTGTGTGCACCCTGCATCAGACCCACAGATTACATCCCCTCTGCTGGGGTTTTCCCTGAAACCTTTTCTTCCTCCCGCCTCTCAATCCCGCCCGATCCCCAGCTGGAGTAAATCAGCAAAGCGCTCGTGACTTCAGTGGAGCTGTACTGCCTTACATCAGCTGGGAGACCGGCCTCCATGTTTAACTCTAGGCTGGAGGCTGAATGTGCCAGGGGGTTCCCCCGAGCTCTAGCAGAGGATTACGGACCTGAACTATCTGCCTTTCTCTTCCCTCCAGATGCTGGATCACAGCCCCCCTGATCCATAACATAGTCAACCTGGGCTTCTTCAGCCTGGTGTTCCTCTTCAACACGGCCATGCTGGGAGCCATGGTGCGGGAGATCCTCAGGCAGAGGAACACAGGCCACAAGCTTAAGCACGCCCTGGTTCTCCTGGGGCTGAGCCTCGTGCTGGGCATCCCCTGGGCACTGGCGTTCTTCTCCTTTTCCTCGGGATCGTTCCGGCTCGTCGTCATCTACCTCTTCACCATCATCAACACTTTGCAAGGTGAGCGCGCAGGGCCGGGCACGCTCTCCCCATCACGCCCTCTCCCGGCGACGTGGGACCTGGCGTACGTGCCGTCACCCCGGGGCGAGTTTCGGGGTAAATGGCGAAGGAGTCTGGAGTCTCTCTGAGGAGCAGCTGATGAGGCTGACACAACCCCGTGCCCTATTCCTCACCGTGGGGGAGAGGCTCCCCTCCGTACTAGAGCGTGCCTCGCTGTACCTAGCGATCTCGCCTGCGGGGCCCTGGGATTTTCTGTGCGACAGCACCCGATGGCCACATGAGGGTGCCACCAGCTAAGGCACGAGACAGTGCTCTGCTACGTTAGTACAGTGATGGATCCGAGACCCTGTTAGCTCAGTTCATCTGACGTATAGTTTGTTCCTTTAAAGTGGCAGTAGTGATGGGCTGAGCTGGCAGGGTGCCCCCATGCTCAGGCAGGGTGCCAGCCTCCCCCTGCCGTCAGGTGACCCATTGTCCTGCTCTCTGCATTACCCCTGCCCAATGAGCGCTCTCCTATTTCTCCCGTCTCTCGCAGGCTTCCTCATCTTCCTCTGGTACTGGTCAATGGTGCTGCAGGTCAGAAAGTCGAAGTCCTACCCCTCACTGAACAACTCCGACAGCGCCAGGTTGCCGATCAGCACCAGCCGCACGAGCGCAGACTGAATCACCCGCTTTCTCTGGTCACAGCTGGGACTGTCTCTGCCCCGTGAGTCAAGAACCAGGGATCGCACTCCCGGAGGGGAGGTGGAGGCATCACGTTTGTCTGATGCTCCTGCTTTGCTACACGCGGCCACGTATAATCACAAGGAATGTAGAGAAATTCACACACTCTCCCAGACACTCTGAACTGCCAGCATGGAGTCTGTTATATGCTAAGAGCATGAAAGCAGCTCGGTTTCTCTCTGCACATTCCCGTCTGGATCTCTCAGGTCCAGCCCTGCCTGGTTCCCATTGCATTAAACACCATTCTTGTATCACACGCACACACCTGGGCTCCCAGGTAGATCACCACTTCAGTATAAAGTCACTGGAAAAGACAGAGGGTGTTATAAGCCAGCAAGGGCTGCAGCCTTCTCTGACAGGGGATCGGGGACCTAGTCTGTTTCATGCTCCTTTTACAGCTCTTTCCACATCACAGCCTAGAGGGAGGGCAGGGGAGAGCCTGGAATCCACCTTTCCCAGGGCTCCAGTCACATCAGGCAGCTGCCAAGTGAATCCCCAAGTGCAGAGGAGAGATTGGGCAGCTGTAAAGGTTTCATTTTCTTCAGAATGCAGCACAGGCCCATGAGCGGCTGTGGCAGGTCCAGACTGGACCAGGCACGTGGGGGCTATGTGCCCCTTAGGTAACAAGGCCTGGGGGGTGCGGTCACCCCTCCTGCCCAAGGTATGTGGGGTGCTTCTGGGGGAGAGTGAGGCCATGGGGCTGTAGCAGACAGCCCTCGGTGTACAGGTGCAACTCAGCGCTGTGTCTCCCATTCATCAGACCTGCATGCTGTTCTGCCAGTGCTTCCCCAACAGCTACCCAGCCCTGGGCCTGAAAGATCAGGCCAGCCAGGACAGAGTTGAGAGTTGGAGGGATGCTCCAGAGGCCATGGCAGAGCTGGAGATTGCGGATCCCATTCCTGAAGGGGGGTGGTCCTCCTGTCGCATTGTAATTTGGTGATGTCCTTGGGTTCTTCACGTGGGCCTAGAATCCCAGCTGGCTTCAATGATTGTGAAAGCCTCTTTTCATCAGCAGCTGGCCAGGAACTGTCACCCTTCTCTTGCACATCTGGCTTTCACTTATCCTAGGGTTACCATACTTGAACTTTCAAAAAAGAGGACACTCCGGGGGGTAGCCCCGCCCCTAGCCACTCCCTCCCACTTCCCGCCCCCTACAGAACCCCCAACCCATCCAACCCCCCCTGCTCCTTGTCCCCTGATCGCCCCCTCCCGGGAACCCTGCCCCTAACCACCCCCAGGACCCCACCCCCTATCTAAGCCTCCCTTGTCCTTGTCCCCGACTGCCCCCTCCTGAGACACCCCCACCCTAACTGCCCCCCTAGGACC